ATTTTAATATTGATAAAAGAAAGCAAATTTGTTATAATCCCCTATTTCCCTTATTTCTGTGTAGTGACATGGAATGCTATCATTCACGGTCACTATCACTATCACCCCGTTGTTCACTGATTTGCTCGAGCGGGCTCCAGTAACGTCTCCATTCATCCCTGTCACATGCTAGTGTAGCCCGATGGCATACTAGAGGCTCTTTCAGGGTCAGAGGAATGAGGACCATCATTGTTACTGTTTTTAGCATATCGAGTATGCCACGGGTAGCTTGCCAGGCTCTGACGTGTGGGGGGGATACTTTCGTTAGCTTGCCGGGCTCTCAGACAGAATTGGAGGCTTTGGGGGCAGCCTCTAATCACTTTTATGGGTGTTCCCAGTCATGCATATAAGGGGGCAGGATACTCTCAGTAGCCTGCTGGGTTCTCTGAGAGTGAGAACAAGACAATAAGAGGTCTAGTTTTTGTTGTCTAGTTAAGACAATAACTCTCTTCTGGGAGCTTGGTTTTATAGTCTCTGGATCTTGGTCATTGATGGGGTTACACGGCAGTTGGTGGGTGTAACTGTCTAGCTACTGGAAGATGGGGGATCTGGGTGGAGGAGGCCCAGTCCCAAACCAAGCAGGCTTGGAGATGTCAGCCCCAGGTCCCACGCACCTGGGTTCCTCTGCCAGTTCCTTCATGTGTGAGGCTGGTCTTAGCGTGTGGAGAGTGGTCTCAGCATGGCTGTGACTGGGTCCCAGAGGTCTTCAGCTGCCGGGACTCTGCTCAGGGTGGAGAGAGAAACTCATCCCGCCCCCCTCCAAGGGGTCCTGGTGAGGACAGCCAGGTGCAGGGGAAGGAGACTCTGCGTTGTTCTCTTCTGGGAGCTTGGTTTTATAGCCTCTGGATCTTGGCCATTGATATGGTTACATGGCAGTTGGTAGGTGCAACTGTCTAGCTACTGGAAGATGGGTGAACTGGATGGAGGAGGCTATCATTAGTATAGAATATATTGATTTTTGACAATACAAAAATATGTAAATGTAATCTTCTTCTGTAAAAATTGTTCAGTTATTAACTGTTTGCCATAGTCTCTTAAAAAGTTTTACTACCTTTCAGCCAGTTTTTTGAAAAATATTTGGGTATAAAATTGTTCCCAGTTTGACATCCTTCCCGCCCTGCCAAGTCCATGAGTTGCCCCCCACAAGAGGCTTTCTGGCACAGCCATGGCCCCAGAGGCACAGGGACCTAATTCAGAACTCAGCAGCTTTCGGCAGAAATGTGAACAGACTATGCATTAAGCCACGGAGCTGTGTGCCCCCAGGAGGAAAAGGGTGTCTGTCTCCCACCTTTTACTTCCCACCCCACCCCAGCGGCACAATGGCCGCCACCTCAGAGCTTATTACACAGCCACGTATGAGCTGGCACCTCATGGGATGGGGGCCGAACTGGCACATCCTTCCTGCCCCACCAAGACCACGAGTTGCCCCTCCCCCCTCCACGAGCCGCTCTCCGGCATGGCCACAGACCCAGAGGCACACAAACCAATCTCGGAACTATGTGGCTTTTGGCAGATATCTCTTCAGACTTAATTAGTAAAATATCACCAATCCAAAATCATATGGTCTTCATAACCAGCAACAGAAAACAAATTATTTCATGATGCCTTTTCAGCAGATTTGATTGTTGGGGGGAAATTTCAAATAATAATGGTGCATCTTTTGTAGAAATAATGAATGTAATCAAAGTACAGAGAGAGTTAAGTGGAAATCATCAGTCTCACAGGCATGGGAGGGGTAGGATGGGGGGTATATTGGAGTTCTTGGTGGTGGAAAATATGCACTCGTGAAGGGACGGGTGTTTGATCATTGTATGACCGAGACTTAAACCTGAAAGCTTTGTAACTGTTCTCATGGTGATTCAATAAATAAATTTTAAAAAAATGTTCCCAGTTCAAAGTACACTAAAACAAGTATGCATTAGAGAACAGTATTTTAACCTTGCTATATCGATTCCTCCACCCCTCCTGGAGAGCCTGGCAAGCTACCGAGAGTATCTCGCCCACACGACAAAGCCTGGCAAGCTCCCTGTGACGTATTCAATATGCCAAAAACAAAAACAACAAGTCTCACAATTTGTTGTGAGACGTTACTGGTGCCTGCTTGAGCAAATCGATGAACAATGGGAGGACAATGCTACAGTGCTCAATTCTCCCAAACTCTCTCCACAATTCTCACAACTCTCTCCCCAACTCGCCCCCGACTCTCTGCAGCAACTGTCTCCAACTTTCACTCGCTAACTCTGTCTCTCTCCTCTCTCTCCTCTACGTTCTCTCTCACTTTCTCCCAGCTCTCTCTCTCTCCCTCTCTCTCTAACTCTGTCTCTTCACCAACTCTGTCACTATGCCTCTCTCTCTCTCCCCTCTCCCTGCAGCCACCACTTTAACCACTTCTTCCTTAACCACGCCTCCCAAACCATGCCTCTCCCACCTACAGCCTCCCCCCAAGCACAATCAACATGTTTTTCAAGCCTTCCTGACCACCTGCAGCCCACGAGGGCAAAATAGTACTTAAGCTGTGTTTCTCCTCTCCTTAGACCAGTAACTTGATTAACATCTTAATTTTACTTCCTAATATTTGCCATTCTGTAATGACACAGTAATAGACACATTTAGGCTTGTAGGGCAACTCTCCTGGGTACATCTCGCCACAGATTCAGACTACAGTGCTCAGGCCTGATTAATCATTTCTAACCCTATCAGGGTCCGAATCTAGTTATTACTTTTTGGATCATGACAGAATTTGTCCATGACCATACTCTTAACTGATAGTTAAGTATTGTGGCACTTGGGCCTGGCCCATTTCTATGCCAGGGTAGCTCACAGCTTGTCCTGGATCCATCCAGTTCCTCGTCAAGACCCTGCTTTTGGGGATCTAGGAAGTAAGGTCAACTGAGGCTTAAGTTGAGAGAGCAGATGTCCAAGAGGTAATATTATCTGGAGTCAATTAACTCCCGAGTTATAAACTTATCTTTTTAACTGTCTTCCTGTGTCCATACAAAAAGTAATTGCTCTGATGTCACTAACCATTCAAAGGACATTAAGAAGAGGAGAAAAGAAATATTTACAAGTCAGCAGAGTGATCAGGAGGCAAAGGTTGGGAGAGCAATCAACAAACCCAAGCTCCCTGTGGTCAGGAAGGAAGGGCAAACCAATGTTTTCCTACAAACAGTGCAGTTTGATATGGTTTGGATCTATTTATCTTCTTTGCTGGGGGGTTATGTTAACTGAGTTACATGCTATCCTTTTGTTTCACCCATTTCAGTGTTTCTGTAACTCATCTACTCCCCCAGGGATACTCACAATTTCCCAGTGCCTGTGTTAAATTTCTATGTGCTACATTTTCCCTCCATTGTTTCTAAGTCTATCACTGTCTCCCCACTCCCTAATGATTCCTCTTCCCTATATCTAGTCTGTGGAATTGGGAATAAAGGTTGTTGATTATTATATGGTGATCTGTCTGCAACGTCTGCCCTGTCTACCTGCTAGGGACCATCTATCATCCTGAATACACTATAGGGGAACCCCTGTCACTACAGGACAGTGACTCAGACAAACATAGAGAGTATCTTGCTGAGTGAAATAAGTCAGAGGAAGAGGGACAAACATAGACTGATTGCACTCATATGTGGGATATATAAAAACATGGTATAAGACCAATACCCAACACCATTAGAAATGAGAGCCAGGAGGATTGGTCCATAGTTGGAAGGTTGCCACAAGTTGGGGTGAGAGTAGTTAGGATAGAGATGGAGCCATTGAGACTGTAATAGTTGGAAATGATCACTCTGGGCAAGAACTGGGTGCTGAAAGGAGGTAAAGTGAAATATATGATAATCTTTCAGTACCTATATTTAGTATTGCAAACCATAATGCCCAGAAGGGAAGAGAGAGAAAAAGAGACAGAGTGAAAGAGAAGAAAATAGTCTGCCATAGAGGCAGGCTAATGGGTGACAGGAGGGAAACAAGGGACAATGATGAAGGGAAATATACACTGGTGATGAGAAGGGTGTTGGAACATTATATGACTGAAACCCAAACATGAACAACATTGTAACTGTGCAACTCACAGTGGTTCTATAAAAAAAATAAAATTTAATTTAATTTTAAAAAGACTCCAAGACTAGCTGTTTTCAATGGGATCCTAGAAGTGACCAAAGTCTTTAATTTTACTAGTGTTTATAAAGAAAATTCACAGCCTTCAAGGTTCCTGAAATCCCTGTGATTGGAATAAAAAGTGCCTCCCCAGAATATTACAAAGATTTTTACCTAAAGCAAACTAAAAGTTCTAGGGAGTGGGGAAATAGTATTTCCAAGTAAGGTCAGAGGAGACAGCTCTTATGCTATCCAATCCAATTTATATACATATACTTCTCAATTCACAGCAATTTTATGTCATACACTAGACCAGATGTCTAGTAATTAATGTCTATATTTTAGTCTTTACCTGTAACATGGTATCTATATTTTTAGATAAAAATAATGGGAAAGTGATTGACCAAGATCTTGCTTCTAGGAAACAGCAGAACAGTATCTTCTTGCCTTTTATTCTTTTTAAAAACTTTTTTTATTTTTTTGAATCACTGTGTGATAGAGCATTACAAAGATGTTCACGATTAGGTTTCAGTCATACAATGTTCCAACATCCATCCCTCCACCAGTGTAATTTCCTGGCATCAGTGTCCTGTTCCCCTCCACGCACCCGCCAATACCACCCCCAGCTCTGCCTGCCTCTATGGCGGATACCTCTCTTCTCTATCTTTTTCTCTTTCTTAATCTCCTCTTAGAGCTGCAGTTAATGTGAATTTCCAGGTAATGAAATCTCCCCAAGGTCAAGGGCAAAGTAAATGGAGCTAGTTAGGAAAACTAAAGGAAAAAACAAAGGTTATCTGTGAGAGTCACATGCTCCTGGCTGGCCGCCATTGTAGTAGTGTGTCCCTTTAAAAACCCAGGTGTGGGGCAAGTTCTGCACACAGTTTCAGTTTTGGTAGCAACGTCCCGTGCCTTGTTGACAACGTCCAGCAAGGCCGGGGTTGCCTTAACTGCAAGCTGTGTCCTGAAAACAGAAGAGACAGAAGTAACAAAAAGTAAGTGTGGTTATTCTGGAATTTTCCAGATGGAATTCCATCTGGAAAGGATCCTGGGATGGTGGCTCAGGCTTTTGGTACTAAGAGTGTGGTGAGGGTATAGAGATTTATATCTCGGTGGCTCAGGTAAAGACTCACATATATAGAAGTTCCACTTCATTTATACAAAAAGTAGTAGGTAGAATAAAGGTTGTTAGCATGTGCAGCTTATCTCTAAACTGGTCCAGACTTATGTACTAACTGTTCTTTTATTTTATTTATTTATTTATTTTTAATTTTTATTAGTGAAACACCATGAGGTACAGTTGTAGACTTATAGATTTTTGTGCTCGGGTTTTATATTCTTTTATTTTAATGTGTGGTCAAGAGGTATGTGCAAGTGCAAGTCACGTACCATCTGAGCATCAGTTTCTTCTCTTCCTCTCCTCCTTCTCTCTCTTCCTCTCCCTCTCTCCTCATCCCACTCTTCCTTTCCATAATGTATTGTTTCATTCCCAGAGTTTGTTCAGGGCTCACTCCTGGGTCTGCACTCAGGGATCACTTCTGATGGTGTTCAGGGGACCATATGTGGTGCCGGAGATTAAACCCAGGTCAGCTGTGACAACGCAAGTACCTTACCCGCTGTACTTATCACAAGTTAAATGGGAAATGTATAAAATGGGAAAATAAATAACTTTCACTCATGGTTGGGGTGAACTTGTGAAGCTAAAATGTATGAAACTGTACACTGTAACCTCTAAAGTAATGTTACTTTTTTAGTATTTTCTGAGACCCAAACATATAAAGTGAAGCTAAGTGCCTAATACATACTCTTCAAATCTTTGGAGCTCCCTACTTCTAGTTTGCTCTAAGATCTTTTCTAATTTCAATACAGCTTTACTCCAGGTGAGACCTTCCAAGTAGTGCTCACAGAGCTGGGATCACTCCTGACAATGCTCAGCTAGCTGAGCAATAAGCTTGATTCTAGGGCCTGAGGATTCTGTGCTATTCCTAAGCAGCTAGCGCCAAAGGTAACAAGGATCACTAGAGCTTTCCAGGCTCCAGTCTCATACCTGGTGGTGCTTAGGGTGGCATTCAGTACTGGTGATCAAAGCAATGTAAAACCAGGGATTAAATTGCTATACTATCTTCTCAGATTCTTAAAAAATAATATTATTTAAGATTATGCTAAGTCAAGATTTTCTTCATAGGGGCTAACGAGATGATAAGGAGAATAAAACACATACTTGCATGCAATTTGCAATTTGATCCTAGACACCATATGATCCTCCATGAATTTATGGGTGAAGTCTTAGGTCCCCAACTACTTCCCCCAAGGCCCTCATTGTTGCCAAGGTGGGTAAGGTGGTCCACAGGATCTGAGCATCAATGTGCCATTGGGTCCTCACACTGAACCATCAGCCTGGTTGGTGGAATCACCACAAGGGAATATCAGGCCACCGAGAATCCCAATATAAAAACAATTTAAAATATATATATATATATATAATATAGCACAGCGGTAGGGCGTTTACCTTGCACACAGCCGGCCTGGCCGAGCTGGGTTCGATTCCTCCGCCCCTCTCGGAGAGCCCGGCAAGCTACCGAGAGTATCTCACCCACAAGGCAAGCTACCCGTGATGTATTCAATATACCAAACACAGTAACAACAAGTCTCAAAATGAAGACATTACTGTGCCCGCTCGAGCAAATCAATGAACAACTGGAGGACAGTCTACTCTACAGTCTATATAATAACAATAATAATAAATTATTAGTTATTGATTTTCTTCATGTATCTTACCTTCTTGTAAGTGAACGAAGGTATGTTTCCTATAACACATTTACATAGTGTAATGGAGTAGAGAAATGGTTTAGAGGCAATATATCTGGTTACAGAAAACAAATGTACCATGCCACATATGTGGAAGGTCATAAACCTACGTCTTCCTCTTCATAGAAACACTTTTTATGAAAACTACGTAAAAGTGTACTGTATTGGGGTTGGAGAGAGATTGCAGTGAGCAGGACATTTTTCTTACACATCACCGATGTGGGTTCTATCCCTGAAACCCTATGTTTTCCTGAGCCCTGGAAGGAGTGATTCTTGAACACAGAGCCATGAGTAATCCCTGAGCATGGCTTGGTGTTCTCCCACCCCCCAAAAAGAGAGAAAGAACTGGATTTACTTCTCTGGGATTGAATTTCCTGTTCCCTCTTTGCTCAGCTGCCTTCCCTCAAAATACCATAATGCTATAATCTTATGTTCTTTCAACCTCCCCTTTATTTCTCTTATCCTTACTGTGGTGGTAGTGTTATTGGTGCAGAGTTGGGGGTTGCATTCTGCCATGAAAGGTGCAGTGCTGGAGATTAAATAATATGACCTTGCACGTGCTAGGCAAATGATCCACCACTGAGTCACATCCCTAAGCACAGAGTTTATGTTCTTTGGGATTATAAGTGGCTCCCAAGTGAGGGCAACTCCTGGTGATTTTCAGTGAATTAGACCAGCTGATTCAATACCAGGGCCTGAGAATACAGTGTGTTTCAGGCTCTGTGGTGCCAGGGACCATCAAGGCCACATACCAATTCTTGGATACCAACAGGAGCACAATCAATGGTGTTCCTGGGCTATGTTGGATCTCTAGGGCTATGTTGATCTGTGTTCCAAGGACTATGTGGTTTTAGGGATAAAACTCTTCTCAGGCATATTCAAGAAGAAGGCTCCAAAGCCCCTGTATTATCTTTTCAACCAAGTTCTTATATTATTGATCTATAGTGCCTGAATTTGAACCCCATGTTATCACTTACAGGCTGTTTAACTTAAAGCAAATTATTTTCCTTAACCTTTTGTATCACACCTAGGTCTGCTTAGGTGCACTCAGATATTAATTCTTATGGTAATCTGAGGAAAATATGGGGTGCCAGGGATTGAACCTGGGTTGGCCACGTGTAAGACAATGCACTCTATCCACCCTACTATCACTCTGGCCCTGAATTTCTGACCTCTTTATGACTCTGTACATCCTGCCTTATCTGTAAAATACAATTTTCCATGTAATTCTACCTCCTGGATTAGTAGAAAATATTGAATAAGTTAACACATGTAAAGCATTTGAAGATAACTCAGTATGTAGCACTGCACTGTCCTCCCATTGTTCATTGATTTATTCGAGCGGGCCCAGTAGCGTCTCTATTGTGAGACTTGTTACTGTGTTTGGCATATTGAATACACGGGTAGCTTGCCAGACTCTCTGAGAAGGGCAGAGGAATTGAACTCAGGTCGGCCGGGTCAGTTGCTTGCAAAGCAAATGCCCTACCGGCTGTGCTATCACTCGCTATATGCTTCACTTCCAACTTAGTCTATAATTCATCTCTTCTTTCTCAATGTACTGGTTCAATATGAACATACCATACCCTGTATTCAAAGGATGCCACTTTTCTCACTCGTAGACAGGAAAAAGACAAGCTTTGTTGATGTTTTTATTTGTTTGTTTGGACCAAACCCAGCAGAAGTAATTTGTGCTTCCACCTGACTCTTCACTCCAGAGCATTGCAAATGGCCGGTTGTAGATCTCTCAGGACCTGTATCCAACCATTTCAGTTATTCCAGAGAAGGTGTACTTCCCAGATTTTTGGCACTTGTTCCTCCATGAGACCCTCTCCATGGTATCACATGTACTCACTCAGGTTGTTTCTCAATCCAAGTCCTCTGAGTTCATACACAAGTGTTGACATTTAGTTAAGGTCTCAATGTAGGAGTTAATCATTGACTTGGTCTGAGTGGTCTGGTGCTGTTAACCAGAATCAAGAGAGCCCCAACAACATTCATGTTTCTTTTTCATCTGGCCTATCTCTCTCACATTACGCTTTAAAGAACTTACAAAACAGAATAAAACAGAATACTTTACATTTACAAGGAAGCAAAAAGTTTCCTTGCTGGGAAAACCCCATGGAAAATAAATAACTAAGACAAACATTTTGGTTTCCTTTGGCTTAGAGAGAAAAGAATCTTTTTTTTTTCATTGAATAACCGTGAGATACACATTTCAAAACTGTTCATGATCCAGTTTTAGTCATACAATGTTCCAACACCCATCCCTCCAACAGTGTACACTTCCCTCTACCAGTGCATATTTTCCCACCACCAATGTCCCATTTCCCTACCCCCAGCCCTCCCCCGCCAGCCTGTCTCTATTGCTTTACTCCCCCGCCTCTCGTTTTGGATACTATGGTTTGCCATACAGATATACAGATCCTAAGAGGTTATCATGTTTGTTCCTTTACATACTTTGAGCATGCAGTTCTTATCCAGAGTGATCGTTTCCAACTATCTTTGCCATAGTGGTCCCTTCTCTATCCCCACTGCTTTCTCCCCGAGCACTTGAAGTAGGCAACAGCAAAGAGTCTTGAATTAACACAGGGAACAAGACAGTAAAACAAACCTAGGAAATCATTTTCTGGTTTACTTCTTCTTACAGCTTCATTTTTTTTAATTGATGGTCATTACTACCCAGCTATAATATAATATGGTTTTCAAATTTAGTACTGTTGTTTTCAAGTCCGTATATATGTGGTATATGTATAATTATATATGTATAAATATAAACAAGCCAACACTACTGCGACCATGAGATCTAATATTTAACCTTTAAGATTCCATTATTCATATTAGTATAAAAACACCCATCCCATAAGGTTTATATGAAATTTAAATTAGATATTAGACCCAGTTTAATTGACTCAGTGCCCAGGACATGGTGAGAAATTGATAGCAGTTATTACCATCATTGTTACACTTACAATTTTAATTCTTATAAGGCTTGTGTCTCATATTACTAATGTTAACACATTATAAAATATTCCAGATCCTTTCCACCTCCAAGGGATGTAGGGAGGTCAGCAGAAATAGACTACTGTTTGGTAGTAAGTCATCTAATGAACTATTAATGAGATCTAATGGAATTTTTGCCAATGAATGTATTCCAAATGGAAATAGAGAAGAAATTATACCCATATTTCTATCCCAAAAGAATCTTACATAAGCTATAATGAAAAAAGAAGAACCATTCATTAATTCAAAGGATTTATATCATTCACTGAAGATAAAAAGTCAAACACATGTTATAGGAACGCTATAGTCAACTAATAATGAAATGGGGAGAAGCTTAATCTTTTGTTTTTTATCTTTCAGGACATTTTGCAAATTGGTCTGAAGAGCAGTGTCCTGGGAGCTCCCAGAGATGATGCTCTTCTTCCTCTCTTGCCTGCTGGCTGTCTTTCCAGGTGGGACCAGAGTTCCCTTATCCTTAATGATACCCTTATCCTTAAGGGTAAATTAGGGTTATCCTTAAGGATACCTCTCCCCAAACTTTCACTCCCTCATGGAGGAGTCGAGCACAGTATGTAGAACAATCGTGTCTAAACGTAGGTTGGAAATAGAGCACTTTGGATCAGGAACAGAAATGGTAACTTTTCACTTCCAAGCCAGGGGTCTAGTGAAGGATACGCCTGAAAAGAGAAAACTTTTTAAAACAAGGACTATTGTTAAATGTTTTCCATTCTATTGTCCTTAATATAGTTAAATCAATAAATTACAATTGCTTTTTAATACTGATTGATGATTCTATCTAATTGCAGCAATTGTCGAGCTGTGGTAGTCAATAACTGACCATAATACTACAAGTTTTGGTGGAAAATTTTAACACCTTGGGGTGGGCTGTCTGGATCATTTTAGCAGTTTTTATTTCCTGTGACCTCAGAAAGCAACTTTCTTTTGTCCAAACAGCGGTCTCCACGAAGAGTCCCATATTTGGGCCCCAGGATATAAGCAGGGAGGAAGGCGGTTCAGCTTCCATCAAGTGTTTCTATCCAGCTACCAATGTCAACAAACATACCAGAAAGTATTGGTGCCGGCAGGGACCCACTGGCTCATGTGTAACCCTCATCTCCTCACCAACCTATGTATCAAAGGACTATGAAGGCAGAGCCAAACTTACTGACTTCCCAGAGAGCAACTACTTTGTGGTGGAAATTTCCGGTCTTACTAAGGATGAATCTGGGCTCTACAAATGCGGTCTGGGCAATAATAACCGAGGCCTGTCCTTTGATGTAAACCTGAAGGTCGATAAAGGTAAGCATCTAGGTCCCTTGAGCCGCTGCTGAGAAGTGAGAAGGAATCATTTCTCTTCAGCAAGATACATCAAGGAAGAATTTTCTCAGAGGGAAGGCATGGGGTTGAAAATTCTGGGGTGTACTTCCTTCCAGAATCAAGATCTTTATGTAATAGAACACTTGAATGGGAAATTTAGGAATTATCTGAGAGAGGTAAGTAAAAGCCAGTCTAGGTCCATAGGAGCTATTAATGTTTTAGGATTTTACCAAGCCTTTTCCATAGCTTAGAAGAACATTGGAACGATAATTTCTCTCATTTTGTTTGTTGCATTTGGAACAGAAGGACGTTGAGAAAGGTAGAAAAGTCATGAGAGCACTGTAGAGTATCCTAAATACCTGCCATTAGGACATCCTTTATAAGGTCTCAGGTCACCAAGAAGGCTCTTTATAAATGCATTCATCTTTACCTGGTACCCATTAATAAATTTTATCAGCATAAATTCTGAACAAAAATGTTTTCAGGTTTTGTTCAAATACCAGGATCCTAAAGAGATGAACCTCTGAATAAACCAGTTCCAACTGAGGGAAAAAGAAAATTAGAAATATCTTATAAGATTTAGCAGTAAAGTATTTTAGGTAGTCAAAAGTAGTTTAAAGAGAAAGATACTTTATGGGAAGAATAGACATTTGGAGTTATTCCCAAAGATGCTGTATATACAAGGTATATTCACTATTACTGAGCTACATCCCTAGTCACTCAGATTAAACACTTTAAATGAAAGAAATTTGCTATTTCACATGACTCTTATTCCATATTTGAACTTTTGAAAATTTTACAGAATTGTTGTGTGATGCACTAAGATATATTCAGTTTTTGAGGAACGCAAGTATGTAGAAGGTTTTATGTACAAATTGCTATAGATGTTACTATCAAGACAGCACGAAGAAGGTAGAGATTAATATCAGCTTGTCAAGGGCTTCATAGCAGTAAACATTGGTCTTCAAATACATGTTTCTGATGGTGTTCCTCTGAAGAGATTAAAACCCTCTTTGGGAACCTTGAGTAACCCTTGTGGAAAGAAAGTGAAATCAACCTTATACCTTATCCTCATCCTACAACCTCTCTTCTCGTTCTGTAGCTGTTGTGCTCCCAGATGACACTGAAGTCTACAAAGCAGACCTGAGTGAAAACCTGCAAATTGACTGCCCTTTCTCAAGAACAAATTTTTTTAAAAAGAAGTCAGTGTGCAAAAAAACAGACCAGGATCAGGAATGCATCCCAGTCATTGACAGTGAAAATTATATAAACCCTGCTTATGGCAATAGAGTAGCCCTTCGTTATCCTGGTGGTACTGGTGGAACACACTTCATTTTTGTCATCAACCAGCTTCAGCTCACAGATACTGGAATATATGTCTGCCAGGCTGGGGACTTACCTGATGCTGATAAGAAAAATTTCTACTTACAAGTGCCAAAACCTAAGCCTGAACCTGAACTGGCTTATGGAGATCTGAGGGGCTCAGTGATCATTGATTGTAATTTGGACCCCTCGGTGGCAAATGATGCCAAATTTCTGTGCAAGAAGAACAATGAGAAAGGCTGTAATGTGGTCGTTAACACCATGGGGGTGACGGATCAGGCCTTTCAGGGCAGGGTCCTGCTCACTCCAAAAGACAAAGGCTCTTTCAGTGTGACAATCAACGGTCTGAGGAAGGAGGATGCAGGGCACTACCTGTGTGGAGCCAGCTCTTATGGTGAGCCTCAGGAAGGAAAATCTACCCAAGCCTGGCAACTCTTCGTTAATGAAGGTAAGACACAAAGGGAAGAAAAAGATGGTGGGAGATTCTGACAGGTGAGAGAGAGCCTACTTCATTTCCTGTAAATCTAGTCAATATTCATGAATAAGATGATAACATCACCTCACTGACAAACCCTAAACTATATGTTATATGGGAAGCTGCACAGAATACCTAGAAAACACTTCTTCGTGGTGTCTCTAATATTCTCATCTTTCTTATTAGAGGCCTTTTGAAGGCTACTCTGTGCTTAATAGAAAGAGAAAAGTGAAACCCCTGAGACAAGACTTCTAAATTTCGGGAAACCCTGAATGAGTACTTAACACAGAATTTCAGCCATTCTATCTGTTCTTGATCCTAAATAATACAACTCCCATTCAGATGGGAGACATATTGACTTACACTGGTGGTCTCAAAATTTCCCTAAGGAAGCAGTTCCCACCCTCTAAATGTTCCTCTCAGGCATGCCTTATGGTTATTAGTTACTCAGTATGTTCAGTATGATGTTCCCAACTCAATCTCCTTTAGTGAGTTACCTATGTTAAAAAAAAAAAAAACCCTACTATTTCTCACCCTGACACACACTCATGAGAAAGAATTATCCTCATGAAATCTTTCTGCAAACTATTTTTCAGTTCAAAGCGACTGTGCTGGTCCCCCTTTTTTTAAAATAAGGATTCTTGTGTCTTGTGCATTGCTTCTACATCCAGTTCTCTGACCTTACCATTTCCCTCAGCTTTTCTCTAAACAGTATGTCTCACTAAACCATAGTTTTAGCTTCCTGGGAAATAACTAACATTTTTTTTGAGGTACTTCTCAGAGTCAACCATTAAACTCATATGTGTAACTTAGTTTATATATGCAGTTTGACTGGCAATTTTGTGTTATATATTCCTGGCAATGTTCAGGGGTTACTCCTGACTCTGCATTCAGGAATCACCACCCCCAGTGGTGCTTGGGGACCATAGGGGATGCTCAATATTGAAACCAGGCTGGCTGTGTGCAAGGCAAGAATCCTACTCACTAAATTAGCTCTGAGCCCCAAATTCCACCATTCTTTACTGAGAACAGGTTGGGCAGAGAAGTAGATAGATAGATAGATAGATAGATAGATAGATAGATAGATGATAGATAGATGAGACCTAAACTAGTAAGGATGATCATGATCACTGGAATTTGATTGGGTGATTCTAGCTACTGACTCGATGACATTCAGCATGGCTCTTTTTCCTTTTCCGTTACTTTCCATTATGTTATTTTAAATTTATCTTTTAGTTCCTCTTCTCCTCCCTGCCATCCAGCCGTGTTCAAGAGATTCTCTTGGCTCTGTGCTTAGGGAGGTCATTCCTGACAATGCTCAGAGGATCACATTGTTGCAGTGATCAAATCAGGGATGCCTGGCCATGTGCAAGGCAAGTGCCTTAACCCATGTACTTTGTGACCTGAGTTGTTATTTTTTATTTTTGATTCAAGGTAAAATGATTAGTCTGAACCAAAATACTCATCCTTGCTGAAGCTATAAGGGAAAGTTTTTTATCAGTTCATGTTGTTTTTCATTCCGCCTCTATTTGTCCTTCTAGAGTCTACAGTGTCCCTTAGTTCCTCTGTGGTAAAAGGTGTGGAAGGAGGCTCTGTGGATGTGCACTGCCCTTACAATCCTAGAGAAAGAAATAGCGTGAAGTCCTTGTGTCGCTGGGAAGATGGTAACAATTGCCAAGTGTTGGTGCAGAGTGACGGGCTGCCCCAGGAACAAATCAAGACTTATCAGGGAAGGCTTTCTCTGAATGAAGAATCAAGAAATGGTATCTACACAGTCAAATTCAACCAACTGACCACTAAAGATGCTGGATTCTACTGGTGTCAGACCAACGGTGATAGGCGTAGGATGTCAGTGGTGGAACTCAAGGTTGTTGAAGGTAAGATTTGAACTGGGCAAGAAGTAAGGAAGATACAGTCAGTGTCTCTCAGAAAATAATAGCTTATTCACACATAAAATCCACCCTTTTTCTTCTTTCTCCCACCTCTCTGTTTACAGAAGGTTCGCTGGAGTCTGGGTCTTGGGTAGGCAGGGCCTTGCAACCTTTGTCAGTCTATTTGCACCAGTACCTTTCACAGGAGTAAAATTTGCCAGGTACTTGGCAGGGAAGACCTCAAGAGAACCAACTTCTCAAGAAATTACATATCATATCTGTAACAATTGCCCTTCGCTACAGACAATCCACACTCTCTGAATTGCCATACATACTTCTTCCTGTTGTTGAGAATATGGTCTTTGTTTATATTAAGCAGAACATCAGTGGTGTGCAGATCTATGTCTAGAAGAGAAGAGACGAGTAAGGAAAGCTAACTAAAGTGAAGATGTACATTACAATGATGTAAGGTAGAGATAGTTGATTCATATTGTTCACCAATAGTAATTATTATATAGTAGCAATTACATTTCTTATGTACTCAACGTCACATAATTCATTTTTAATTCTGTGCAGTGGTCACCAAGAGTTGCTCTTTTAGCATCATCAGTTCAATTTTTGTTTCCTTTTATGACTTCTCAAGGAAAAACCAACTCTCAAGATACCTGAAACTATTACTGCTTTCGAGGGAGACACCACAAAAATTCACTGCTATGTATCCTGCAAATTTTACTCCTGTGAAAAATATTGGTGCAAATGGACCAACAAAGTTTGCAAGGTCCTGCCTATCCAAGACCCAGGCTCCAGCCAACCTTCTGTGAACTGCAATCAGGAAAGTCAGTTCACTGAGTTGATTCTAAGCCAGTAAGAGAAGAGGATGAGGGCTGGTACTGGTGTGGAGTAAAGAATAGCCTCCGATATGAAGAAACTGTGGCAGTTTATGTGGAAGTCGAGAAGTGGGCAAGGGGTGAATCTCCAGAGGTCTGTGATTCCAGAGAAAGGATTCTGCACAATAGTTTCTTATCAGAATTGGCCCCTAGTTTTGAGTATAAGAGCCTATACGAAACTGGGAGCAGGGAGATATTCACCTGCACATTTAGACCTCCAAACAAATATACTCCTAAGTAATACTCCTAAGTAAATATATAACTAAGAAAATGTTTTAAGCTTAACTTGAGAATAGGTACTATTTGTGTTCTTCAGGAAACTTTGGACACTCATAGACTGCCTAAGTTTCTTTCTAGAAGTAGCTTCTTCTCTGTATAGATACCTCAGAGTCACTGGAGCCAGGTAGATAGTACATGGGTGACCCTTTGCCTTGCAAATGACTGACTTAAGTTTGATCCCTGTCATCCCACATGACCCCTAAGCCACAGATCAAAAGTCATCTCCAAATGCAGAGCCAGGAATAAATCCTGTGCATTCCCCAGGTGTAGCTGAAAAAGACAGAGTCACAGTTATATTTACTATTGAACGCAATATACCAAAACCTGTTCTCCAAAGAGTCAAGTACCTTATGAACATCATCTGCAAAAGAAAATTAAGGCTACCTCCTCTAGTAAATTTATTCATTTGGGTTTTAAAAAGATGACTGAAATGTGTTATCTCTGATAAGAATATGCTTTCATCCCTGTATTAATTCTACTGAGTCTGGGTTCATCAGGTATAGCACACCAATAGAATGGATCATAAGCCACCCACTAAAGGTCAGTATTACCCCACTATAGTCAGTAGCCATTGTTAACTATTGCAAAACTGAAGTTTTTTTCTCAAACAATGGTCAGTTTTTTTATGCAAGGTTGGACCTATGCTCCAGAAAATTATATATGGAAACCAACTTGGTATTACACCAATTTGGACATCACCTGTGACAACCCAGGAAAGGCCAACATTCTGTTTGTATATCTAACTACCATCATGCACCCTATTCTAACAGTCTTATTATAACTCTGACCCAATAATTCATAATGAAGTCTCACTCCTCAGACTCCCTGACCTCAAGGAGTGGAGACATAGGGAATAAACTAAACTTATTTCCACTCTTCTCTCTTCAGCACCCAAAGATATTAGTCAAATGAATGCTGTTCCTGGGGAGAAGGCTGTGGAGTCCAATGTCAGGGAGACTGAGAACAAAGCCATCCCGGATGCCGACCTTGTTATGGAAGACAGAGCATTGGAAGGAATGAAAAATCCAGTTGACGGTAGCAGTTCATCCACAGATACTGGCAGGTGAGAAAGGATGAAGGGCTCAGCCTGGGAGTCCATCCCAATGGAGCACTTGAGACTGGGTCACCAGCTCCAAGGAGAACAGCCACTTTGCCTCTCAAATAGTTAAGGCAACTCTCACTGCCTCTGCTCATATTCAGAGGTCAAGTATTCCTCTCTATACTTCATTCATTCCATGAAGTGTTTCCTGCCCCGTTCAATCTGCGAAGTCTGTGATGCAGAATATGTCCATGAATATGTTCTTTGTCTCTCTAGGAATGTTTCTGATAGCGATGGATCTGGGGGTTAGATGTGAAGAATGAAACTGATTAACAGGGGAAAAATAACTTACTAGAGTCAAGCTTAATGTTAGGGCTTTCCAGGTTTTTCTTTCACTAATCACTGCATCACTGTATCACTGTCATCCTATTGTTCATTGATTTACTCAAGCGGGCACCAGTAACATCTCTACTTGTCCCAGCCCTGAGATTTTTGCAGCCTCTCCTTACTCATCTTTCCCAACGAGTATTGGAGGCTCTCTCAGGGTCAAGGGAATAAGACCCGTTATTTTTACTGTTTTTGGCATATCGAATACGCCATGGGTAGTTTGCCAGGTTCTGCCGTGCTCTTTCACTAATAAATTAATTTAATCGTTTTGTAGCTCTGCGGGACAAGGCGGAAGCACCACTGTTCTGGTCTCCACCCTGGTGCCCCTGGCCCTGGTGTTGGCAGTGGGGGCTGTGGCACTGGGAGTGGCCAGAGCCAGGCATAGAAGAAATGTTGGTGAGTCCCAGTATTATCCTGTCCCCAAGTTCCACATTCTTGCTTAGATGTCCTCAGGGTCACTTCTATGTTCATTTATTTTTCATAGACTCAAAGGAAGGGCTCTTGGGTGGGTAAGGTCAACCCACATATATCCAAAACTACTGAAAGTACTAATATTTAGCATGGTCTCTGGAAAGCTATCTCCTATTGACAGTCAAAGGTCAGACAAGATCTAACAAGAAACTTCTAGCTGAAAGACCAGACCTTCTGGCTTAGTTTGAGAACTTATTGGATATGTAAACTTGGTATGATCCCATTTCACGCCTCAGTGTCCCCAAAGCTTGTAGAATTGATCATAATAATCAAGATAAGTATTGATGTGAGGAAAAAACATGTACGTGCACTTAAAAGTAACAGAATGACAGAATCTTTATTATTTTTAAAAAGAGACTGAAGATTATGAGATGGTGAACCAGAGACTGTGCTATCCCTTCTACTGACTATGGAGCTATAGAAAATGATTATATAGAGAAAAATACCTTCTTATATAATCCAGATCATATCCCTGTAACAACTCTTTCTCTCAAACAGACCGGATTTCAATTAGAAGCTATAAAACAGACATTAGCATGTCAGACTTAGAGAACCCCAGGGAATTTGGAGCCAATGACAACCCGGGAGCTTCTCCATTCAGTCAAGAGACACCTGTTGATGGAAATAATGGTACGCCCCTTCCCCAAGAAAATGTTCATCCTCCAAAGATAGCATGAATTAGTCCTAACTCTGTATCCGGGGTTGTGAGAATTAATTCATTTTCCTGTCCTGACACAGAGTTCGCCACTATCACAGACGACACCATGGAGACCATGGAATCCAAGGAGGCGAAAAGGGTAATAGAAGAATGACACAAAGGGAAAAAGGCCATACATATGTGAAAAGTTAAATGTAGCTTGAGAGACATCGAGAAAAACTACTTCAACATTGGGGCTGATTTGAGACTAGGGAAAGAGGTTTAAATAACAGTCAGGAGAACTTTTTGAGGGAGAGACAAAATTACTGGAAGAGGCAGAAGGTGAGCTAATTTACAGGTAAAATGCAAAAGTGAAGGAGATCAAGGTAAAAAAAAGACAAGTGTATAGAACATTTAGCCTCAGATGAGAAAATCAAATGTAAATCGCGGGGATTAAATATTCTTGAGCTGTGTCAACTATGGACTTCAGGTCTCTTCCCCAAACCTCCTGTCCCCACCCCAATATACATATACCCTTGAGAGTTTTTTCAGGACCAGACTTTTTCTGAGCATGGAAGACATTTGTAGAAGGCAAACAATTTGAGGAATTAGTTGACCATTCCACCCTAAATGCAATATGACTTGAAAATCTACCAGGGTAAAGTCTTAATTTGGGGTCACTCTACTTTAGATATTATCCTTCCCTAAGGCCAACCTAATCCTTAAATGTGAATAACTGTCATTATATATACTTTCCTCCATAGCCGAATAAAATTATGTTTGGAAAAATTAGGGAAATAAGTTAGACTCAGACCCAGTCTTTCCCTCTAGATTTTTCTAAAATATCTCTGAGAAAGAAAATGCAAATGGCCTTAGGTTACACCATTCTAACTCACCATTTCCACAAACTTTATGGGCAAAGTTTCAGAGGACGGGTTCAGAAAACACAGGTTGTAAAACTGAATGTGTCAAAAAGAGCTAGTTAAGAAGAGGGAGCTGCTTTTTGATACTCCAATGTTCTTATTCCTTAATATTACTCCTGCTAGTGGAGGGGGAGGGGTCTGGAATAGAATGTTGGGTTTAGTTTTTTAAATCATAATGATTATTGAGATAGGTGCTGTCCCTCACTCTGACCCCAACCTTCTAAACCATAAACACTAACTTTTCTGTTCTTGTCTTCTTAGTCATCCAAGGAGGAAGCTGACATGGCCTACACCAACTTCGTTCTTCAGTCAAACAATATTGCTGCCAATGTCCAAGATAGACCCAGTGAAGTCTAGACTGAGTGCCAGCTGCCCTCTTCCTTCATTCATCACAATCTTCAGAATCACATTGATCCTTCTGGTCCTCAGCCCTAGGGGGTCTCATTCATATCCCATTTAGGCTTTTCCTATTTAGCCTAGTCTTTTCTAAGTTCCCTCCTAAGTGAAATCCAAGCCTTTCCTGGGCTACTTGTTCCTGCTGGGATGCTACTTTTTCCTGTTCTCACATCATCTAACAATGATAGATGTTATATCTGAGATCCTGAGATCCTGAAAAGTAAATAAATTGTTCAATGGCATTAAGAGAAATATACTACTGTGAAAACTGGATTTTGTGTTCTCTGTCTGTTGGTCAGGGACATACAAGGAGGCTAAGAAATGTGTACAAGTTTGTTTATATGTAACACCTCGTGGAAATGGCCCTTGCCCTTTCTGTCACTTTCATGAACTTTAGAAATTCTAATAGTTAAGTACTCATTATTCCTATATCCAAGGAGTTCAATACAGTAAAGTAAGAAGAGTGTTTGAGACTGTTAATTATTGGATTATTTCCAAAGAGCCTAACCATTTTCCCCTCTGAGTTCTTTTTATCAAGTAGCATCTACACGATGGCAGTTGTTTAAAAAATAAATTACTTTATAATTAAATAACATGATTACCAGTAAGGAGGTTCAGACTGCATTTGTTCCCCAGATCTTATGTTTTCTTTTATCTTTTTAATTTTTTCATGTGTGAGGGCACAAATGGTAGTGGAAAAAACTTACTTCTGGCTCTATTCTCAGGGGTCCTCAGGGGAGCATATTTGGTGCCAAAGATCAAACGTAGGTTGGCAGTATACAGGGCAGGCACTTTAACCTGTTTTCTATTCTAAACTCTCCTTTTTTCAAGTGTTTATTGAGGCACTGTGATTTATAATACTGTTAATGCTACAATTTCATGTATACAATGCTCTAATTTCTTACCCATCACCAGAGTGTCTGTTCACATCCATCAATGTCCCAAAGTCCCCTCCCACTAAGGCCTCATGCCTCCTCCTTGTTAAGCTCAGTTCCATCAAATGACTCTCAGATTCTCTTGCCTTTGCCAATTTTATGCTATAAAAATATAATACTATATTTTATATCCTTTGTATGAGAAATATTCACCTATATCTGCCTCGGTCTTTTTGATTGGCTTCAATCAGCATGATATCCTCTAATTCCAGCCACATAATAGCAAATGACACAGCTTTGTCTTTCCTTATATTCCACTATGTATACATACACCACATTTCTTTTTTATTATTATTAGTGAAACACCATGAGGTACAGTTGTAGATTTACAATTTTTTGTGCTTGGGTTTTGATTATACAATGATCAAATACCTATCCCTCCACCAGTGCCCATTTTCCACCACCATGGATAATATCCCTCCCACCCCCATCCCTCCCATCCCACCCTGCCTCTGTGGCAGGGCGATCCCTTGTGTTCTCTCTCTCTTTTTGGGCTTTGTGGTCTGCAAAAGAGGCTTTGAGTGGCAAACATGTTCAGTCCACAATCTACTTTCAACATGCATCTCCCCTCCTGGGAGGATCCTCCAAATATCCTTTATTTGGTGCTCCCTTCTCTATCTGAGCTGCCCTTTCCCCTAGAATGCCCGGCTGGCCTCTAAGCTATGGAGTAATCCTCCTACACCACATTTCTTTATCCAGTCATTCACTCTTGGACATTTGGGTTGCTTTCAGATATTACCTACGATGAATGGTGCTTTAATGAGCTTATGAGTACAAACGCCTTTTCAAAATAGTGGTTTTGGGTTCTTTTTAGATGACAGAAGGAGAATTGCTGTGTCATAGGATAGCTAAGTTCTTACTATTTTTTAGAAGATGTGTCCATACTGTTTCATCAGGCTGACCCAGTTGCCATTCACTTGAACAAGTGGATAAACGTTCCTTTTCCCCACATCTGTGTCAGCACATTTTTAATGTGTGTCAATGTAATGAAATCACATTGTTGTTTTTTAATTTTTATCTGATTAGCTTGAGTGCAAAGATCCACAACAAAATATTAGCAATCTGAATCTAATAATACATCAAAACAATCAATTATGATGTGCAAGGAGGATTTATCCAAAGATGCAAGAGATGCAAGAATCATGCAAGAGTGATATAACACATGCAAGTCAGTTAACACTATATCAAAATAAAGAAGGATGAAATTGTAGAATTATATAAATAATACTAGAAATGGCATTTGGCAAGATTTAACATCCATTCATAATTTTACTCTTAAGAAATGCTAGGGGCCAGAATGATAGTGCAGTGGTAAGGCATTTGCCTTGCATACGGCCAACCCTAATTCAATCCCCAGCATCCCATATGGTCTCCTGAGTACTGCCAGGCGTAATTCCTGAGTGCAGATTCAGGAGTGACATTTCTTTTAAAAAATTTGTTAGAGGCTATAATATGCAAATTTATGGATGATAGGCATACATAAGTGTCAATTTCAATCCCTTTACTACCATAGCACAGTGGTAGGGTGTTTGCCTTGCACGCAGCCAGCCTGGCAGAGCTGGGTTCGATTCCTCCGCTCCTCTCAGAGAGCCCGGCAAGCTACCGAGAGTATCTCACCAGCATGGCAAAGCCTGGCAAGCTACCCGTGACGTATTCAATATGCCAAACACAGTAACAAGTCTCACGATGGAGACGTTACTGGGCCTGCTCGAGCATATCGATGAACAACGGGAGGACCGTGCTACCGTGCTGCTAGTGACCACATCTCTCCCCCACTGCCAACACCCCCCCCCCAAGGTTCCCTCACGGTTCCCAACCTAAATCATCGATAGATACTTTTTAAAGAGTTTAAGTATTGTACCTTGGCTCCATGCTTACAGTGCCATTAAGTATAGTGGTTTTGATATATTCAAAAGCTCAAGGCCACTGACACTTGCCTCTGTGTTACTTAAAGACCTCCCCTTTTTTTGCTTCCCCACCCTCCATTTCTCTTTTTCTCTGGCATATTTTTCTGTAATCTAAAGTCATTATTTAGCCGCCCCCTTTTAATATCTTCTATTCCTTAGACATGTTATTCTATATACCACCGATTAGCAATAATATGTGGTATATTTTCTTTTCATTATTATTCATTTCACTTAAATGATATCCTCCAGAGCCATTCAAGTTGCAGCAAGTTGAAAGATTTCATCACTCTTATGACTGCATATAATTATATATTGTGTGTATATGCCACATTATTCGCTATTCTATCATGTGACATTGGAGTTGTTTCTATGTCCTGGATATTTTACTAAGTGATGCAGTGAACATAAGCGTGAATACATATTTTCTAATGAATATTTCTGTGTCTTGAGGGTATATGCCAAGAAGCAGATCTCTGAATCATATTACAGACTGATTCTTAGTTTTTTAAGGATCTCCATATTGTTTTGTATAGGGACTTAACCAGACAACATTCCCACTAGCAATGTAATAGAGCTCCCTTTTCAGCACATCCCACCAACATAGGTTGCTTCAAGTCTTATATGTGTGTGTATATATATATACATATATATGTAATTATTCTCATTGGTCCAAGGTGCTATCTCATTGAATCTTCATTTGGATTTCCCAGATTATAGGTGCCGATGAACACCTTTTTATATGCCTAATGGACATCCAACTGTCTTCTTCAGAAAATGCTTACGATTCTCACTCCCCATGTTATGGGATTATTGCATTATATTTTTAAGTATGAACTTTTAATTTTTTAAAGATTTTTTTTAATTGAATCACTGTGAGATAGACTCTTACAAAGCTGATCGTGATAAGGTTTCAGTCATACTGTGTTCCAACACCTATATTCTACCATTGTACATTCCGCAGCACCAGTGTCCCCTGTTTCCCTCCTATCATCCCTCACCCCACACTCCCAGCCTGCCTCTATGGCAAGCATTTTTCTTCTCTCAGTTTCTTTCTCTCTCTTTCTCTTTTTTTCTCTCTCTTGGCACTGTGGTTTACAATACAGATACTGAAAGGATATCTTTCAGATATGAAAGGTGTATATCCCTTTACCTACTTTGGACACTCAGTTCTTATCCAGCATGATCATTTCCACTGATTATTATCATAGTGGTCCCTTCTATAACTTACCTACCTTCCACCACGCACACTCTTGGGGTTGATTCCAACCACTGACCAGTCTTCCTAGACCCTGTTTTCCCTGGTTGTGGATATTAGTAATATATATGTATATATGACTATATATGTATATGTATATGACATATGTGTACATGTATGTATGACTATATATACATATATGAATGCAGTCATTTTATATCCATACCTCTCCTCTGACCCATTTCATTTAGCATGATGCTATCCATGGATGTGCATTTATAGGCAAATTTTATGACTTCATTTTTCCTATCAGCTAGCTGCATTTATTCCACTATGTACATGTGCCATAGTTTTTTTTATCCATTCATCTGTTGTCAGACACTCAACTTGTTTCCAGATTCTGGCTATTGTAAATAGTGCTTCAACGAACAGATGAGTGCAGATGGTGTTTTGGCTGTGTGTATTGGGGCCCCCAGGTTATATTTCCAGAAGAGGTATTGCTGGGTCAAACAGAAGTTCAATTTCTAGTTTTTGAGGAATGTCCAAATTGTTTTCCAGAAAGACTGGACCAGTCAGCATTACCACCAACAATGAAGGAGAGTCCCTTTCTCCCCACATCTACGTCAGCACTGATTGCTCTTGTTCTTTTGGATATATGCCAGTCTCTGTGGTGTGAGATGATTTCTCATTGTTGTTTTTATTTGCATCTACCTGATTTATAGTGATGATGAACATTTTTTCATGTGTCTTTTAGCCATTCAAACTTCCTCCTTAAGAGAGTTTCTGTTCATTTATTCTCCCCATTTTTTGATGGGCTTGGATTTTTTTCTTGTAAAGTTCAACCAGTGCCTTGTATATCTTTGATATCAGCCCCTTATTAGAAGGGTATTGGATGAATAACCTTTCCCATTCTTCAGGCTGTCATTGTGTCTTGGTCACTGGTTTTATTTTGAGGTACAGAAGCTTCTAGTTTAATGTAGTCCCATTTGTTTATCTTTGCTTCTACTTGCTTGGACAGTGGCATTTCATCCTTGAAAATACCTTTAGCTTCAATATTGTAGAGGGTTTTGCCAACATTTTCTTCAATGTACCTTATGGATTCAGGTCTGATGTTGAGGTCTTTAATCTATTTTGATCTGGCTAATGTGCATGACTTAGAGATCTGAGTCCTTTTTTTTTTTTCATGTGGCTGTCCAGTTTTGCCAACACCTCTTGTTAAAGAGGCTTTCCTTGTTC